AGATATAATGCAGAGCCGGATAAAGCGAGCACAAATGCTGATCGAAAATCATTCAGCAAGAATATACCGAACGCAAGTTCGAATCATGCAGACATTAATCCCGTTCCGTTTAATGTAAGTTGCGCAATCTCGAACGACCAATCATCAATCATAACATCAAAAGGGTTACTGCCCATAATCAAGATCCAAGTTTCCACCGATTTCCAGAGTGCTGATTGTTTAACATTGTGTGACTCAGCATCTAGTCATTCCTGGATGTTGGCTAAATTAGTCAAATGTCTGAATTTTTCAGGAAGAGATTTGGATCTCACAGTAAATGGTATTAACACAACGACTGTTGTTAAAATGAAACAAGTTCAGATGAAGGTATCTTCTAACTTCGAGGATTCGAATACATATTCGAATTAACCGCATTTGTCAAGGTTGAACTTAAAGGCGGTACCGATACCGTCAACATCCCTGCATTACAGAGCAAGTATCCGTACCTTGCTCCAATCAAACCAATTGTGTATAGCTACGCCGATGTAGACTTAATAATTGGTCAAGACTCCTTCCATGCTATTCGGCCTGAGGAGTATTTCAAGAGTGAGGCCAATCCAAACACTTCGCCCGTCACGGTTCGCCTTCCAATAGGCTCGGTCTTGAGCGGCCCAATGCCGACATCTACTGGTTTCCTTTCTACTTGTTTCAAGTTCAATACGGATGATACGGAACTAGCTTGTCAAATCAAACGCTGGTATGAAATAGAGTCATACGGAGCCTACAAACAGGTCGACTCCCGTTCAACCGACGACAAAAAGGCGGCTAAAATACTTGATTCCTCCACCGTCCATGATGGATCAAGATACGCGGTAGGTATGCTTTGGGCAGAAGAATCTATCATGTTACCAGACAATTACTATTTCTCTTTGGTTCAGTTAAAATCGTTGGAAAAACGTTTAGCGAAAGATCCTCACTTGAGGGATCAATACTCAAAAACTATTGAAGATGATTTGAATAAAGGATACGTGATTCAAGTTCCTCCCCATAATTTTTCGAACCGTGGTATGCGAGTGGTATCTTCCTCACCATCCCGTGGTGAACCCAAACAAACCTGGTGAAGTGAGGCGTGTCCTTAACGGAGCGTCTAAATTCCACGGTACGTCATTGAACAAATCGTTGCTAGTAGGACCCGACCTACTGCAAAACCTTGTGTTCGTTCTCCTCCGTTTTTGTCAACATCATTTTGCCGTATCGGCTGACATTGAAGGGATGTTCCTACAAGTCGGCGTCCTTCCAGAGGACCAACCATCTCTTCGTTTTCTGCGGCAGGAGGACCCCACAGCCGATGTGGTTGTACAGCAGTACACCAGACATATCTTTGGAGCGAGAGATTCGCCAACTTGTGCAAATTATGCATTGCAACGGACTGCAATGGATAATCAGGCGATGTTCCCTGACGCAGTGTCCGCAGTTCTAGAGAAATTTTATATGGACGGCTACCTAGACTCCTTTGAGGACCCTGATGTTGCATTTAAAATGAGTCAAGAGTTGATTACTCTGTTAGCTCTAGGTGGTTTTAAATTAACTAAGTTCTAAGTAACGTAACTAAAATTAATAAAAAGTTAAACCCGCCCCAAAGCTCGCCGCAAAAACATTGTAACTTGTGTGGATAATTCTTCCCATGTTCTTGGTCTGAAGTGGGACCATATCGACGACACTTTGGTCGTAAGCCGTGGTGTCAACCGTGAACTTAAAAATTCGATAACACAGCGAACAGTGTTAAGTTTTGTCTCTTCCGTTTTCGACCCCATAGCTATTGTAGCGCCCTATACCGTGAGAGCGCGATTATTGTTGAAAGAAATCTAGCACATTCATGGCCAACAATGGGATGATGAGCTACCCGTTGATATCAAGACAACATTTCTTGCCTGGCACTCTGGTTTGCCATCTCTAGGAAAAATGAGTATAAAGCGCAGCTACTTCTCCGCACCAGTCGATTGGGTTGAGTTACACATGTTCGGTGACAGCTCAGAAGAAGTCTTTTGTGCTGTAGCTTTTCTTCGCGCCCTTGTGAAAACTTCACTCGAAACAGAAATTGCCTTTGTCTTTGGAAAAGCAAGAGTCGCGCCCATGAAAGCGCTTTCAATCCCGAAGCTTGAACTGCAGGCCGCGTTACTCGCTACCCGCTTGAAGAAAGATGTCCTCAAAGCTCCAACCATTCCTGTGTCAAACACGTTCATGTAGTAAGCAACCCATGTTCGTGGCAAACCGGATTGGAGATATTCTGGAAAATACGACCGTAGACCAGTGGTTTCACGTCTTAAGTGGAGACAAACCTGCTGATACGGGAACCAGAGGAATCTCAGCGGAGTCCTTAAAAACAAGCAGCTGGGTAAACGGGCCAAGTCTGCTGAAAAGTGGCGAGTGGCCTTTCAAGCCGAGCATAGAAGTACTTAAGAAAATCCGCCTGGCTGGTCCCGCTTGTGACCCAAATGAAGGTTTGGAGCAGGTCTCTATTTTTTCAAACGTTGCACAAAAACAAAAACAACCCATTTTTTTTTGCATGGGGAGAATTCAGCTCGTTTCGTAAACTCCAGCGAGTGGTTGCCTTCATGCTCAGACTTAGTCCGAAACACCGGCACTACCGCACTAAACTCAAGGAAATAACCGATCCGGTTGAATTAGAAACCGCCAAACAACGACTTTTGTTGATTTCCCAAAAGGAATCTTTTGAAGCGGAATATTTACTCCTGTCCTGCGAAAAAACCGTCGAAAAGTCTAGTCGTATCGCACAATATGCACCGTTTATGGGTCCTGGATTCCTCATTCGTTCAACTGGGCAAATTCGCCGCCTAGTTGATATTGAATGTGACACAAAACACCCCATAATCCTTGATGGAAGGCATACTCTGGTGAAATTGTTCGTCAGTGATATTCATTATCGCTATCAGCACCAGTTCTTAGACTACCTGCAAGCTGTAATTCACTTAGAGTTCGCAATCTTGAACCTTCGCTCTTTATTAAAGTCCATTGAAGTCCACTGCCTTATATGTAGGAAGCGCAAAGCCAAAAACTGTCACACTTATGATGGCAGAGCTTCCAGTTGAAAGGCTTGGTTACCGCCAAACTCCCTTCACAAAGTGTGGTGTTGGTTATTTTGGACCATTTTACGTCTCAATCAGGACGAGTTCTGAAAAACGATGGTGCTTCTTTTTTACATGTATGACCACAAGAGCTGTACATATTGAGATTGTCTCATCCATGGAAACGAGTGCGTGTGTAATGGTAATCGAAAGATTCATTGCCCGTCGCGGCACTCTATCAGTCATTTGGTCTGATAACGGCACCAATTTTGTGGGAGCCGAGAAAGAACTCTTGAATTGTATTCAGTCGTGAACGGACAAGCACCCCCAGAGCTGGCGAAAAAGGGTATTAAGTGGAAATTTAACCCCCGGCAGCCCCACATCACGGTGGTTCTTGGGAACGTCTCGTTCGGTGTTGTAAAAGGGTATTCTACGCAATAATAGGAAGTAGAAAGCTCACTCCCGAAGTTCTTGAAACAACTTTCTGTCTTGTAGAACAATCACCGAACGCTCGACCTATAGTATCAGTAAGTGCAAGTCCGGATGGTTTCGAGGTGTTAACTCCCAATCATTATTTGTTAGGCCGAAAAAGCAATATATCCGAGCGCAAAGCTACGCCAACGCAATTTGGAGTCGTTGGCTGCGAGATTATGTGCCAGCGCTGAATAAATGCAGTAAGTGGCACTCCGATAGTGACGTTATTTTAAAAACAGGAGATTTAGTGTGGAATGTTGACGAACGCAGCCCAAGGGGACACTACCCTCTGGCTCGTATAAAAACCCTTAATTACGGAAAAGACAACACTGCCCGATCCGCCGTAGTTACCACCCGCTCCGGGGAGCTAACTCGACCGGCCGTAAAACTCGCACCCGTTTTCGCTCCTTTGGGCGCGGAAGATGTTCGCGCTTAAATTAATCTTAAATTAATGACGTCATTATAGCGCGAAAGTGAAAAAGCTAAAATTAGATTTTCTTAGACAAAAGGCCTTGAAAACTACTGGTTTGTCCGATTAAGGTCAGTTTGCCATCAAAAATGTTTATAGATTTTTAAGATTGTTGGAAACCGTATTGCTAAAAAAGTTAACCGAAAAATGTTTAACCCATTGCTTCAGATATTACTTATTCTTTATATTATCTGTTAAATTGCCGATAATTTACAGATATTGAAGCAGGTTTTTGTAGGTCTTACAGGATACGAGAGTGCGGCACACACATATTGGTTGTTGCGTGAAGACATCTTGATGCAATAATGACTATGTTTACATTAATCTAGTGTTCCCGATTATAAAATATGATATCGCTGATAGCATGTGATATTATTCGATTTTTCTGCTTTTGGACCCATTCTCGATAGGACTGTTAAGGCTTACTGATAGATCCTCTGCGATTCGCAGGAACTACATTATTATTAATCTCTTCTTAGACCATTCTGCTTATTGCTCCGCCTCCATTTTTAGCTTTGTCATAAATATTTCGAAACCCATTTTTCGTATATGCATGCTTTTTTAGCCCCCACCTGTACGTACACATCTGTTTCAGCTGGTTTGTAATATAGTTAATGCCAAATTGTTGGTAATATCTTTTTCAGTCAACGAATCTGAACGAAGTTTATTAACCTATAAAACGTTCAAAAACGAATAAACGTAAAATGGTATCGTTTTTGATCGATTAAATTGCTCAAAATCACCGATATTGTCAACAATTTGGCATTAAGTAAAAATTGCAAAAATTGGAACAGACAGAAATAGTTAAAAAGATCAAAAACCTGCCAGTTCCGAGCAATTACTTTGAACAAATTTAAAATTTTAAGTGACCTTGAGATAAACTTTTTATCTGAAATAAAAAAAACTCCATGCAAAAATTGTCTGATAAAAGCCAGTTGCTGTTTTTAGTTAATTTTGTCTATTCAAGTTTTTGCAATTCTGTTTACACTTACTGTTGAGGAGCCATAGCATGGACCAGTGTGACTGTGCATTCCTTGTCCTCCATCACTTCTGGCTTGGCCTCCGGAACATCCGAGGGGTCGGCAGTCACTTCTGGTTGTCCGAGGATGAGCTGGAAGCTTTTGTTCTCAGACGAAGCATCTTCCGAAGGCAGAACCTCAACCTGATTAAAGTGAACAAAAACGATGATTTAAACCAAAAATACAAGTTTGATCAACCTTACGCATATAAAAGAATATTAAAAAATTTTACATAATAGGGCTACTTAAAATAATAAAATTTACTTTAAGTAATTTTTGTATGTAATGTAGCGTGTATGTTTCCATTCAAATCAAAGAAAGTTTTGGATGCAGCTGAAAGTTTTTCATGGAAGGCAACTCTGAATTTTTATGATGGTCAACTTAAGGGGTTCGACCCCCTCAGAGGCCAAAGAGGGATACCCCCTCGGGAGACCTCGGAATATCAATTTGGCAGGCATAGACAGGACAACCCATTTTTTTTGAAAATTCACCAGAAAACCCTAGATCCATCTATGATCTGGACACTAATTTTCAATAACAATGAAAAAATAATTAGTTTTTTTCAAAACATCCATCCACACGCCCTAGTGATAAAAAACTTTTTGGTTTTTTTTTAAAAAATCATCCACCCACATGGATGCCATATACAGTACAAAGTGATAGATTTTGCTATAATGACGTTACAATTAGGACAAATAGCTTGCCTCCATTAAATTTGGAACTATTTCTGAGCTGGGCTAAATCGCTGTTGTAGAACAAAATATATCGCGCATTAAATGTCGCAAGATGATCAAATAAAGCTATTTCCAAAACCCCCATAACTTCGCAACAAAAGATCACAGGTGAATTATCTTTTTAATTTTCAGCTCAGATCATAAATGTTTTTCGGATAATAAAATAAACAGTTTGCCAAAAAAGGCTGCTTGAAAGTCAAAATTTGTCTGCAGGAAAAAATTACCCAATCCTAAACACTCCGTCACTTTCGTTGAAAGTCAAAATAACAACAAGCATGTTACTATTCAATTTGAAGCGATTTCTTAACCAGATGAAACTGCTGCTAATGCGTTATTAACACGAAAGATATCTTGCGTCAATTCTCCTCATAATTATTTTCAAACCATGATAACTTTGCAAAAAACGGTCACAGGTCAAATAATCTTATAGTGAGCTCCGAACATCAATAGCTTGCTGATGATGTAGCAAAGTCCCGTCGAAATTGACCAAATAAAAAGTCGAAAATTGTCTGGAGAAAAAAAAACTGCTCGTTTCGGTGCAAAACTGGTATGTTGCGACTTCTCCCTATAAACCAAGAACCCTTTCATCTTTCCAAGAAAAAAAATGACACACTTCAGGAGAAAAAATCAAGCGGTTTCAAATCATTTTTACGGGAGTTGGTTTGGGAGTTTTTCTTTGTTTTAATTTTTTTTCATGAAAAAGTTCAATTAATAAATTTGACTTTTTAAGCGCCAAAAACTTAAAAAAGATGTTTGGAAGAGATGAGTTAATTAATGCAGGAGCTTTTTAAGTATAATTTAGCCCACAAAATAATGTTACTTTTAGGACCCTTAAAAGTACTGAATGTTGAATAAAAATAGAATTGGTTGGCCTGGATACATGTGTAATGGGTTGATACGGTGGCGTCCCTCATGCTTGAAGGACCGAATGCTTGAAATTAATTTTAGCTTACTTTCAGCCAATCAGAATTGAGTATTCAAATCTCAAAATAAATCGCGAAAATCTCAAAGTAAGAAAATAAATCCAGGTCATTAGTGTTAATATTGACCGATTAGATAATAAGCAGATGAGTTTTCAAGACGGAAAAATTCTTATAATTTTGACCTCATCAACTTGATGATTATCTGAATAGTATTGCGGTTGTAACACGCAACTTGTAATATTTTTGATTATTTTCCACTGATTTAATACATTTTCTGTTAATATTGACTTCGATTTTGTGAGAAAGGCATTTAGCCAATAGAAACGCTTAGCAATTTTGATTGGTTCAAATTTTTCAAGCATTCGGTCCTTCAAGCATGAGAACCCTCCCCGGTTGATACGAGTATAGAGTCGAACCCAATTTATTCAATCAAGAAAATCGAATTGTATCTGACATGTCCCAGTTTGATAAAAACGACGCATAACATAAAATGAGCAGCCCGACCAGGAAAAATATAAGTCTTAAATTTCTGATTTCGCTGTCTAAAAGTCATATCAAATCTAATTTTACGTCTTTTTATTGAAATTAAATAAAATTTTAAAGCTTACAACTAATTTTTTACGTAGCGATAAAATCAGAAATTCAATAAAAACGTTTTCTGAACAAAAAAATAAACTTGATAAGCTCGCTAATAGCTAGATTTTTTCACATAACTTTGGCATCAGGCGGAACCAAACGACAAATGATCAGTCTGTAAGTTTGCGTATTAGAACTATCATAAAAGTTTTCAAAAAAATCTGGAAAAAAATTCACAGAGAGTTTTGGACAAATTCAACCATGTGTTTCTTGACCATTATAACCTGGGTTGTTTGGATATTTTCTGATGAAATTTGAAAAAATTAGTTTGGCTCATTAGGCTCCTTGTAATTTTGGTTTTCCGAAGCATGCGCCAATTTCTTGTAATGAGGAAAACCCTACAAAATTACAAAAACATAAAAGTGTTTACAATTAGAATGAGTTAGACTTGCCAATTGTTCAACTCTCTGGGGCATGATTGATTCATTGGCCGATTTGATAATTTTCCTAGGATACTCTCCTAAGCCTATATTAATCATCAATTCTCTCAATTTATTGTATGTAAACATTTGGTTTGATATCAGTTTCTTATGATTATTATTATGACATCACTCAATAGTCTGCTAACTGACCTTTCGGTCAGCCCGACCTTTCGGTCAGCCGACCATGGTCTAGTCTTTTTCAAAGATTAGACCATGTTAACAGTTAAGTTAGTAAAATTAATGACGAAAACAAGAGCATAAATATATTTGTCTACCTCAATGATTGCCTTGTACTGTTTATCCTCGAAGATCACTTCTGGTTTGCCGGCGATTGTGAAGTGCTTCCCGCCCACGCAGTTCTCCCCCGGTACAATCTCGTAGGGTAGTCTAACTACTCCTCTGCATCCCTTCGTTCGCTCTATCTCCACCTGATAAAATACAATGTTAAAATAGATAGACGACAAATAAACCCACTTTTTCTATAATTGAATTAGAATTTTGATAAGTAAGTGAGTAAAAACAGTAATTAAATTGAAAAGTTAATGAATAGTAAAATTATTAATAGTATGTAGATTTTGCTAAACTTCAAACACAACTAACGTAATTTTTTTGTTTATCACTTAGCTTTATCAATATACTATCAATAATTTCAGTAATTCGTAAGCCTTCGAATTACTAAATAGAAAGTTTGGACCAAGTTAACATCCTCCCCCTAAACACGTTTAGGGGGGAGGACGTTAACTTGGTTCTTAGTTGGGAATTTTCAGCCAATCAGAATCGAGCATTTTACATGCAGCGCTTAACAAATTTAATTTAAATTCAGCTCTGGGGTGGAGGATCTTAACTTGGCCTATTTGGGGGGGGGGGGGGGGGGGGGGAGGATATTAACTTGATCCGAAAATTTTTTTCTTTTTAATTACTGTTTTTATTCACTTTGTTTTAAAAACTCTAGTTTTATTATGTAGAAATTAATAATTATAACACAACTTAAATTTTTATGACAAAAGAACTGAAAATTATTTAAAACGAACGTGTAAGGGGTACGCAGTTTAAGTGCCAATCTGAAATTAAAATAGAAATCGGTTTTCACAAATTTGACAATTTCAACAATATTTTCAGAAAACCCGCTCCTAGCAAAAATAATATTCAAAAAAAAATTGAGAAAGTGTTTCCAACTGTTTTGTTGCAGTGGTTCAACTCAGAATGATTTTTGCAGCGGACGTGTTGTGAACAGAAAACCAGATCAAAATTTGCTTAATTGTTTTTGCCAGTTTTCAAATGCTGATATTTTCACGAAATTAAAACTTAAATTAAAAAATGTAGTTAGTTTTAACAACCCATAACTAGATCTAAAATTTGATACAAAAATCTCGTATCAAGTATTATTTCGCTCAGCGAAAATAAGCTGGAGAAAATCAACCTAAAAGCATTCATAACCTTATTATATTTCATTAAAAAAAACTTACGGACCAAGTTAGCAACCTACTTTTTCTTGGTACGATGTCAGGCCCCAACGGCTTCTGCTAGCACTAAAATTTAGCAGAGTTGGCAGAACTCGGCGTATAGAGCAGAATATTTTATAGAGCAACAGATAGAGCAGAGTTTCAATCATACAGAAGAAATTGTCAATTTTTTACCGAAATATTTTCAAAATCATAAAAAGAAAGCTGCAATTCTATTTCTCGGAAAGGCAAAAAAACTCATTTTTGCTCTACTCGGATAAATTTTTACAATCAAACTGCTCTATTTCTCAGAAACAACACAAAAATGAAAATCGACAACTCTACTAATCTACTTTTTTGCTTCCTGAAAGTGCTCTTCTCATTTTTCAAATTGATTTTTTATTCCGAAAAGCGATAAAAATAGTAATTATTTTGTAATAAACGCCTGATTTTAGAGAATTTTCATTGAGCAGAAAAAATCAAAATTTTTCTATAAAGCAGCAGAAAGTGAGTGCAATAAACAGCAGCAGATATCTTTGGGGCCTTATAAGATGTTAGCTTGGTTCTGAGTTGGAAATTTCAACCAATCATAACTAATCATTTTACACGGTGGCGTACCTCATGCTTGAAGGACCAAATGCTTGAAAATAATTTTAGCTTACTTTCAGCCAATCAGCATTGAGTAATCAAAATCTGAAAGTAAATCGCGAAAATCTCAAAGTAAGAAAATAAATCCAGGCCATTAGTGTTAATATTGACCGATTATATAATAAGCAGACAAGTTTTCAAGACTGAAAAATTCTTATGATTCTTGATGATTACCAGAATAGTAATGCGATTGTAACCCGCAATTTGTAATATTTTTGATTTTTTTCCACTGATTTAATACATTTTCTGTTAATATTGACTTCGATTTTGTGAGAAAAGCATTTAGACAATAGGAACGCTTAGCGATTTTGATTGGCTGAAATTTTTCAAGCATTTGGTCCTTCAAGCTTGAGAACCCTCCCCATCTTACACGCAGCGCTGACCTATTTTAGTTCGATTTGAATGGGGGTTGATAAATTAGACGATAAGCAAATTAGACGGAGGTACTTAAAAGGAAATTAGACGGTTTTGCAAAACTGCAATTGTGAGAAAATAGACGAAAGTGAGAGAAATTAACTTTGTTTGCACACAAATTGCGTTAGAAAAATAAAATTGTTTGAGGACAACAGTTCAATTTCGGTGGCCAAAAACTTTACAAGTCAATCATGCATAATTTATTCAATTCAAAACTCTCCTGTAATATTCAGATTTGACATTTGATGTTCATTTAAACTAATTGTTTTGATAGGTATTGACATTTTATGTTCTTTTTGTATTTGTGAAACTTGACTCTTAAGAAAAATTTTTGTTGGCCCTTTCCCTTTCGTCTAAAACGCCAGATCTGTAAAAAATAAATTCCGTCTAATTTCGTTTTTGTAGCATCCGTCTAATTTGCTTATCGTCTAATTTCCTAGGCCCGGATTTGAATATTTACAAGAAAAATCCTTAGTTGTTCCAGTTAGTGATCGACTAGCGTATCGACTATGTATCGACAAGCGTAAAGCTCAACTAGCATAACAGCTTCAAAATTGAAAACCGTATCATTTAGCATAAAAGTCAAAACACAAATGTCAAGTGATGTCAAAATCACAATAATCGTACATTGCGATGTTCGTTGTTTCCCAGAAACTCAAGTTTTAATTTGAACGGATTGATTATAATTGTAGTTTTGTATTTCTGAGAAAATTATGCTAGTCGATACGTTCAAACTTTTATGCTAGTTGAGCGGTTACAGTATTAACTTGATCGAAACACTCATCACTGATATCCTTGCCTCTTGTTAAATTTTCATAGTTATAAAGAATCAAGTCAACATCCACCTGCACGCAGTAAATGTTCTATTTTAGATTTATAATTACTCAAAATATAAATAATTCTCGTCAATTGTTGGTTTTTGTTGGTGTTTTGTTACTTTATAGTTTCTGCTAGACAGTTTTGGTATGTTTCCTTGAAGATGAACGAGACACAAAGGCTTGAAATTCAAAATTTTGTTAGGTTGCTTAATAAATATTTGTCTAAGTTTTCAGAATTTCTCACTTGCTAATTATTATTATAATTATGATTATTATTATCATCATTATAGGTGAATGTCACAGCAAAAAAAAAGAGCAAAAATCAACTTCTATCGTTTTTTCGAGATGCTTACATGATACGCATTTAGTATGGAATACAACAGTAACGTTTTGATGCCTGAAGATTGGGTTGTTTCAGATCCAATTGGGTTCTGGTTTTTAGTTTTTGTGATTATTTGAAGTCTAAGTTTCCGATAAAAAATATAGATTTTACACCTAAAAAACAACATACCTTGGAAACAAATTGATTCACATCCTTTTTCAAAGAAGTTAGTGGGTAGGGGTGAAATTTCCAATGGCATATTTCCTCATCATTCAACTCATTGAAAAATCAGGCATGTACATGTAGCCATGTAAGCATGCACAAGGGGTACATAAAAAGGAAAACTAAATGTTTACTCAAACATTTTAAAGGTATTTCAGAAAACTTTACTCAAATCCAAGTAGATTGTATTAAGGAACGATGTTTGAGAGACAGAAATTGGACACTATATTCCGGATCAACAACCATGCAACAAAGTTTTTAGTCATACAATTCATTACAGAAATGCCATAATATGGGAATTGAATGACTAGCATTTTAAAAAAAAAAAAAGTGAAACACTCTTTGAAGAAAGAGCATGCTAGCCATTCAATTGCCATAGTTTGGTATTCATATGACGTCCTTTTTTATAGCTTCAATTAAATGACATAGTATGACTAGACAATTTGTTTGTTGTATGATGACCAACCCGCGGCATAGTGGCCTTAAACAATTCTTAAATTTTTTTTAAACTAGTGAATTTGGATTGGCGAAAGTTGATCTGAAACACCTTTTATAAAGAGCAAATTGGAAAAAAATAACATTTAAAACACGGATATTATTATTTTGTCTCCTGGTCATTGAAACCTTTATTTTGGGAAACTGAAACACAAGAAAATTTTGAATAAATCATTAACTGAGTTGAAAGGCTAATTAGACAGTTTATAGATATTGAAAAAAAATCTTCATAAATTTTATCCCAATTTCTACTGGCTAATTTTAAAAGAGAGAAAATAGTTACTTTGTGTATGCGTTCCTGTAGCGTGCTCGAAGCAGATGGGATCGTAGCCGAATGAGTTGTCTCCGTGAACATGAACCTCCCGTGGTGGTCGTCGTCTATGATCACGCAGGTCACTTCCTTGCGCTGGATCTTCGGATCCTGGTTAATGAAAATTAAATATTTCATTTACAAAAATTAACTTTTCATTGTTATAAAATTGCCATCTTCGGAGAGTGGATTCATTGAACATTTGGTCACAATGTTTGTAATTATTATAAAACTTAAAATGAAATTAGTGAGGGCTACAATGTTTTTTTAAGGAAAATAAGTTTGATTTTATTTTCAGTGAGACAAGTAATATAATTTCCCTTTTTTGGTTGCTGAAAAAAATCAAGATATTGTCGAGTTTTTTAGTCTGGTGATTTGATTTTCTGAGCTCTGCCAAAACACTATAAAGACCCTGTTACGCCAAAAATTTCAGCCTAGCAGGCATGATTTTTGGTCGTTTTATGGAAGTTTTTGACCCTAAGGGTGTGGGTGGGTGGGGGCATGCATTTTAAATAGATCTGAAACTCTTACAGTTCGTATTAGGAAAAAAAAATCTGGCCTTTTAAATTTGTTTTGAATCAATCGAGGGGTCTAAAAAACTTGCCATGTAGTTTTTGGGGACTGTGTCGGAGAGGGTTTCCTGGATGTCGAATAGCTTCACCACAAACTCCTCGTCCTCCTCAAAGTCGGGGTCGTCATAGATGACCACCTCAATCGTCTTCTCACTCTCGCCAGGACCGAACTCAAGCCATCTAAAACAGAGTAAACGGGATACTGTTTCATGCCAGAAAGACCAAATTCCACTGTCGTTTATTACATTTTTTACATATAAACAGGGGCGGATTTAGAGGGAGGGCGGACGCCCCCGCCACCTCAGCGATTCGACCCTGCCGACCGACAGGGCCCCCTTTGTACTATTTTGAGATATCCATTTTTGGCAGAAAGTTTTGCCAAAACAAGGTTTTTTTAGCGCTTTGGGAGAGCTTGGAAATCAATTTGGTCTCCCTTAAAAAATGTCGACAAAAATTTCGCCCACCCCCTCTCGTAAAAATCCTAGATCCGCCCCTGCATAAACATGTACATAATTCAGCCAAATTCAATGTAAAAACACTTAATTTCCTGTTATTTGATAAATAGCAACAAATATTATTCAAAAATTACAGGCACTGTAGAAACTGAACATTTTCAAACAAAGACATTAATTACTATTTTTGCACAAAGACATGATTTACAAGAATTAAATGATTTCCAGAATAGTTTTCCGTACGATAAGATCATCTCTGCTTTCTTGGTGCCAATTTTTGTTAGCCTTTTATAATTCAACATTCGAAAATTGTAGAGATTTAAGCGGAAAAATCAGTCAGTTTTTGTCTGTTTAAAAGATGTTGATTGGCTTGACTTTTTCTATATTTACGCATTGGTCTTTCTATCTTGAGAATACTACCCAGAAAATTTGATGAACTTATCGCGACTTTTTCCGAAGCCTAAATTAAGACGCCATTTTTGAAAAAATAGTCAGTTTGACATCAACCTTTTCAAAATTTATCCAAATACATACAGCTATAATCAAAGAAACCTCAGCTATTATAATCAAATATTTTCCAATGCTTGATTTCTTTCAATTCCTTTTTGTTGTTCAAAAAAAGGTCCGCACATTTTTTTATGAGAAAAAAAATCGTTTTTTTTTTTACACAATCGGCTTTTTGCTTAATTACACAAAATATAACATACAGGTTTCGAATTAGACAGGAACAAAACCTATCGAATTACTTGCTGTAAGAGATCGTACAAAAACATTCAAAATCAAAAATTTCACAAAACAATTTACAGCAGTTTTCTTGAATATTTTTTTGGTTTTTCAGGGTTATTTTAATAGTTATTCTACTCGCAAACATACCTAAATTTTCTAATTGGATTTTTAAAACGTAAGTGTAAGAATTATCTTAAAAGTTTTTTAAATGTAGTTTTTTGAAGTGATTATGTTTTTTTAGGTACCGTTACAGTCCATTTAAAGTTGTTCAAGTAAACATTAACTTTTAAGCTGTTTGATGTAGTGTTTGAGATAATTTTATCTTCGAAAAATGGGACGGAACTTTAGTGTTGAGTTAGTTTTTTTCAGCCAGTTTTGATTACCTCAAAAATACTCGTAGTGTGTGTCAAAAGCAGTATTAAAACCCTTTGTAGCCGTAATTTACATTCTAAAATGAAAATGTGAAATTTTTTTGTGTATGTGAAAAACTGCTCTGAATAGTTTCGATTTTTAGACTAAATTACAAAAAATTTCACGAATTGAGATAAAATTGGATGAATCAACTCAAATTGAAAATTGAATCAACTCAATGAAAAATTCTCATTTCAATTTGGCTGAATATCAACGCTCTTCTAGCTTTTATTACTTCTAATTGTTTTTCGGTCAAATTTTTCTGAAGAATAACTTTCATTAACTTGAGATAAAAAAGAAAATCTTAGTTTAAAGTTTTTTTAAATTACCTTGGTCGAACTCTTGCACAGCAACCGGATATCTTTGCTTTCATGTGTAAGTAACATAAGTTATCCTGGAGGTGAAAGAACAGCTTACAAACTGTTCAAATTTTCAAGGAGAATTGCTTGCTATTCTCCTGCTTAGAATCTTACTTAATCTTTTTTATTGCTGTGAAAAAATCCTACAAATTGAAAACGGATTTTCTACTGCACAACTGTGAATAAAGAGCCGATTTATCCTGCGACTAATTTCCATTTTCCGAGCAGTAATCGTTTCTACACAGATAAAAGTATTTTTTATCAACAAGAGGAACGGATTTTAAAGTCTAAAAACAATCAGTTTTATATTCCTAAACCTTCTCAACATTTTTACTAATACCTGTTATCTGTTGTTATTCTGTGAATACTCTGTCAATAATATGCAGGCGCGGATCTAGGATTTTCTCGAGAGGGGGGGCGGATTTTCACAAAAATTTTGAAAATTTTATCGACCTCTTTTTAGGTCGACTAAATTGATTTTCTGAGCTTTTTCCGATCACTATAAAGACCCTAAATTGACAAAATTTTCTGCGCCTGCGCAGGCAAGTTTTTCAGAAAAAAGAAGATAAAAAAGGCGTTTTTAATGCACATTTTAGAAAACTTCGACCAAAAAAATGGGTTTTTTCGGCGCACGGTCCCTCTCAAATTTAATATATATTGGCGTCAAAGGCGACATTAGAAAAATGTTAAGGTCAGTCAACCAAAAATTGATAGCCCAAAATAGTGCAAAGGGGGGCCCTTTGAATCGGCAAAAAGTCGAATCCCCGAAAAAAAGGCGTCCGCCGTCCTCCCCTGATTCCCCTACTAAGAATATCTATATAAACTGTATAAAATCAGACCGAAATATGTCTTGTATAGAATCTATTTATAATTTTTAAGTAATATGAATTCAGTCTGTATATAATTCCTATGGAAACCATTCATTTGAAGAACTATAGGGCTTCTAAAAAATCAGCTTTGAATTATTTAAAGAATACAACATCATTTAGTGATTAATTTTGTACACCAATTTCAGCAAAAAAAAACTAAAGGGAAAAACCTCCGTCAGTGTTATAGTCAGTCAAGATTTTTTGGCGGTGTGAATAATTATGATATATATTCAGGGGCGGATCTAGGATTTTCTCGAGAGGGGGGGCGGATTTTCGAAAAATTTTCCAAAATTTTGACGACTTTTTTTTTTTTTTAGGTCGACCAAATTGATTTTTTGAGCTCTCCCAAAGCACTGTTTTGCGCCTATTTTGGTAAAATTTTCTGCGCCGCAGGTAAATTTTTGAAAAAACAGTCAAAAAAGCCGTTTTTGGGCACTTTTTGGAAAATTTTGACAAAAAAAATGCGTTTTTTTGGCGCGCGCTCCCCCTCAAAGTTAGTATATATTGGCGCCAAAAGCGCCTTTAGAAAAATTTTAGGGTCGGTCCGCCAAAAATGGATTTCTGAAAAAGTATCAAAGGGGGGACCCTTTGGGTCGGCAGGGGGTCGAATCCCTGAGGAAAGGGCGTCCGCCCCCCCCCCGCCCACCCCCTAAATCCGCCTCTGTATATATTATGAAGTTGAACAGTATGAAATTTTAGGATAACTAAGTGCATTTTACATTACGAGGCCAAACTGTGCATTTTGTGCATTGTAAGCGGATTGCGCAACAAGGATGCTCCCTTTGTTCTTTTTTTGTTCTTTGCTTTCCTTTGATCGTTCCGACAAAAATTTCACTTGTTTAAAGACATGTTTTTGGAATCCAGAGCACAGTTTGGCCTCGTAATGTAAGCAATTATTAAAAATATAATAATTATTAAAACGAATTAAACTTGGTCTTAAATATCAACTTTTTTCTGCATATAATCAATTTTCATCCATTTTTGTCACTGCGGGTTGGTACTATTCTGACTAAGATCGAACGCGAATCATGTTGGGCCAATTTTCCGCAGATGGGAGGAGACCTTAGCCACTTCACCATTGCTCCCCGAACAAAAACTCATTCAAACCTCCTATTATTCCGACCATTAATGTACAAAAAATACGACAAAATCCTACTAGAGAACGAGAAACTGAAAAAATTGACAAAAAAATTGCGTTTTTTTTGGCGCGCGCTCCCCCTCAAAATTAGTATATATTGGCGCCGAAGGCACCTTTAGAAAAATTTTATGGTTGGTCCGCCAAAAATGGATTTCTGAAAAAGTATCAAAGGGGGGACCCTTTGGGTCGGCAGGTGGTCGAATCCCTGAGGAAAGGGCGTCCACCCCCCCGCCCACCCCCTAAATCCGCCTCTGTATATATTATGAAGTTGAACAGTATGAAATTTTAGGATAACTAAGTGCATTTTACATTACGAGGCCAAACTGTGCATTTTGTGCATTGTAAGCGGATTCCGCAACAAGGATGCTCCCTTTGTTCTTTTTTTGTTCTTTGCTTTCCTTTGATCGTTCCGACAAAAATTTCACTTGTTTAAAGACGTGTTTTTGGAATCCAGGGCACAGTTTGGCCTCGTAATGTAAGCAATTATTAAAAATATAATAATTATTAAAACGAATTAAACTTGGTCTTAAATATCAACTTTTTTCTGCATATAATCAATTTTCATCCATTTTTGTCACTGCGGGCTGGTACTATTCTGACTAAGATCGAACGCGAATCATGGTGGGCCGATTTTCCGCAGATAGGAGGAGACCTTAGCCACTTCACCATTGCTCCCCGAACAAAAACTCATTCAAACCTCCTATTATTCCGACCATTAATGTACAAAAAATACGACAAAATCCTACTAGAGAACGAGAAACTGAAAAAATTGACAGACACTTACCCCTCGGAAGTTTCGAAATCCTTCGTGGCTGTTGCCGCGTTCGTCGCTGATTCGCTCTCTACTACCGCGTAATGCACTTTAGTTGTCGCCTTTTCAGTGAACGGACCTGCTCTTTCAATCACCACTTTCCCCTTTCCACACGACTCGGGAAACTTAACTTTCTTGTCGGCACAAAACACGACGTTTCGGGTCGCCGAGTCTTTTTTGATGTCGCGTAGCTGATTCACCGCATCCTCCAGAAATCTTCGGTACTTGCGAGTTTGATTGTTGACGTCGGTTTTATGAATTCGGAAATAAGCTCGCGACTTGCCGTAGAAAATGATTTGACTCAACTGCGAGTCGACACTCTTGAACCACGAGTCGGGATCTGCAGGGTTGTTGTCGGCGACTTCTTTCACTCGGGCCATGATTTTCTCCTTTGTCGACATTTTCTGTTTCACGATATTCGACAGTCTGACGGAGCCTGGTGACGCACAGTCGGCCCGGTTGTTGTCAACCGCTGCCCCATTTTCAACATCGTTAAGAGGTATTTTTTCCTGAATTCAAGCAAGTTCAAAAAACAGGAACAAATCAAAGGAAAATCAATTGATTGCAAAAGATATTTTTTTTGAAAGAACGTCTACCATAACAACTGTGAACAAACGACAGCCGTATCAGTTCCGAATAATTCCGTAGCTCCTCTAAAAATTATTCGTATGTCTTATTTTTAAGGCAAAAATTTGTTATTTTTTCACCGATTTTACCAATAACTGACTCACCGATCCTCCCTCCCCGTTAGCAACTGCAACAGTCGCGTCCTGATCCTCGGGGTCGTAGATGCCGACGTATCGGAAGCCCAGAGCACAGGCCTCGTTCTTCCTGTCTATCGTGTAGGACATTAGGATGAATGCTCCGAACAGTAGAAGAGTGACGAGACCTTCCCACCAATCCACCTGAACAAATTCAGACCACTTAATTTCATTCAAACTTTAATCCCCTTGGAGCAAACATGACTTTTTGAAAAGTTGAATCATTTTTTTTTCATTTACTGAATGCGAATTCATTCGAAATTTGGAGAAAGCTTTCGTATTATCTTATTTGGCATAGTTTAACCGGCATAATAAACCCAGATAGCATGAATTCTTTAATTGACAAAACTCCAAAAACTGCTAAATAGAAAAGCAAAGACCGATCTTACCCAGGAGCTACGTTTCTTGCATAACTTTGAAAGTTTACATACAAACCTTCTCTTTTGAAATGACGGCGATCATCATGTACAACCAAATATACGCGCCAATGCTCCACGCTGCAGTACACGTGAACACTCCGAAGTTCTTCACACTTTTCCCCGTGCCATTTGGGATAACAACCACACATATTGCTGTGATGACGAATAAGTTAAAGGCCGCTGAGCCGACAATTGTGCCCGGCCCTAGATCTCCCGCTTCGAAATTGTTGCCGCAAATTTCAATCACCGACAGTAGAATCTCGGGAGCCGAAGAGCCGAGTGCCATCAAAGTCAAGTTCGCGACAGTTTCGTTCCAGACTTGCACTTCGATTTCTTTATACTCGCCTGAAGATGTTTTCACGACTCTGACTGAAGTTGTCGAAGTGATCACTTCGATCGCCTCCATGAACAAGTCGGCTATTTGAGACACTCCGAGAAACATGTAGCAGAGGCCTGGGAAAAACTAAGGATTCATCCTGGCAAAATGATACCCACGAGAAACTTAGAACATATTAAATCAAACAGATTTCACAAATTTTTCAATTTAATTGGGTACTAATTTGAAAATTTGGGGACCATTTGAAAATCCTCTCACAAACCTATTAAACATTATGTTTTGACATAGTACTAAGCAGTTCTTAAAACAAAAATAAGCTATACGAGGAGATTTTATAAACGTTACATCTTTCTCATTAATCTCTTCGGATGAGCGCAACCCCCCTCCCAAACCCCCCCCCCCCCCCCCCAACTTGATCTCTAAAAAACGTCCCTCCTTAAAAATGGCTTAGCGAGAGAGTTAGGTTTTCTTCGGGGTTGCAGGATTTTAATGTCCATTTTGAGTCTACATAGAAAAGATAGAAGGAAGAGTGCTTTACTTACCTAGGAAGTAGACAGTCGCTCTGAGAATCATAGTGGCAGTCGAGATCTCCGCCCCAGGCGTGCCCCATTCTAGACAAACAGAATAACTCACTATTTTTGAACCATTTTTACAAAGAGGTTCGACCAGAATGAAACTACAACAAATCTATTGACGATTCTTTTCAGCATGTTATTGCAGTCGTATCCCAACTTTGCTGGCGAAAGCGACTTGTCGGAAAATCAACCAAACAAATATTTCAGCAGTATTTTGAACAAAACAAGAATGAATTTAGCAGCGCGAAAAGAAACTCTTTTCCGGCCACTCTTGAATGAATGGGAAGCAACTATGACGTTGGGTTGATACTTTTTCACACAAAATCAGAAAAAAAAACAAAGATAGTTTTGAGTGTGGTACTATCTTGGTTTCGAAAAAAAAACATTAATAAAAAAAAACTGTCTTGGTCTTAGTTTTTAACACTCTGTCGTAAAAGTAGATGACAAATGGACAATTAAATAAATAGTTGTATTTGCTAGTCTAGCTGGTTGGTCCAACTTATCTGACCATTAGATATTTTTCCCCAAAATTTCTCTAGAACTTAGCAGTATTGCTTCCAGTTAACTTCTTCTTAATACAATTTCCTTTTGAACGAGATTCACTTAAAAATGCATCAAAAATTGCATCAAAATAGCATTAAACATTTAGGAGTTTGGAAGCTGCTCGTTGGTAATTTAATACACCTGTAAGCCATCTATTGTTTAAGTAATCAAGTTAATCGGCAATTCATGAATTTAGACAAATATTATTCAAAAGATTGGAGCTTAAATGCAGCTCAAAATTTCGATTTGACTGATTTGAAAGACAAGAAGCTTTGCTTTTGGAAAATCTGCTTCGAGTTTTACTAGAATTTCGGATAAAGTTAACATCCTCCCGCTAAAAAAACCAAATCAAGATATTGTACCGTACTGAGAGGTGCAAAAACTTCTATTCTGATTGGCAGAAAAGTTTGTCGCAAAGTTTGACCAAACTACCATCATCCCTCTTAAAACGCTTTATCGCAGAGGAAACTGTTCACTTTGTCCGAAAATTCAAATCAAACCCCGCATGAAGATTGCAAAGAAAAAAATACTAAGTTGATTAAGTTATTTCAACAAACCAAACAAAACCTGTAAATTTACCGCGTTTTTTTTTCAAATAGGGCTGACAAAGGCAAAAAGTGACAAAGAATTTGGAGAAAACAAAAAAATGCAAACGCTTTGCCAAATTTGAGCCCAAATTGTTACCATAAAAATGGATAAGACTATGCTTCATCAAAAGTTAAGCAACTTGTAAGTCAAGTTATTATATGAATGAAACCAAAATGAGTAAAATTTGAGAAGAATGAAATGTCTGAAAAGCTTTGAATTCTTTTTTAATTTAAATTTAAACAAAAAGCGACAATTTTATTTGAAATGAAACCTACTTGTTTTGATAAAAAATGAACTATTACAAACCGAAATTTCACCCTTCATAAGCTATGCTGTAAAAGGAAAACACTCATTTAGATGAAATTTGATAATAAAAAAGATTGGTTCGGCCATTTTTGCAAAACCAATAATCTGCCAAATCGAGTCCCAATAACCATTTTCATAACGAAACTTTGTTTTCAACTTTGGCACACATCGGAAAATCAACTGATTGGTTTGAAACCCCTCTTAGAACAATACTAAAATTGATGGGTAGCGCGACCGGGGAGAGTTCAAAATTTTCCAAAAAGTGCCTAAAAATGCCTTTTTGGCCTGTTTTTTCGAAAATTTGCCTGCGCACAGAAAAATTGGTCAAAATGCAGTCTTTATAGTGATTTGGGAGAGCTCAGAAAATCAGTTTGGTTGAACTAAAAACAAGGTCGACAAAATTTTTGATTTTTTTTCTTTGAAAATCCTTGCCCCTCCCTCGAGAAAATCCTAGATCCGCCCCTGCTTTTGATTTTGTTCAATTTCAAATACAAACAAGACTGCTTCTATCAAAGCCGGTACCTTTTAAAATTTATGAAATAGTGTTCTTTTTAAGAGAAATTAATAAATTTTGTAAAAAAAAACAAGTAAAAATTCAAAATTATTTTGAGAACTTTCTACAACCACACGCTATTCAAAGTACAAATTGATATACTTCGCATATGCCAATTACCATACCTCAATTTAGCTTAGAACAATCAGAGTGAAGAGCGCGAATTATATTGCTCGTTAATTGTTTCCAATTGGCCAAACTGGCAATCTGTAAACCCCCATAGCTTAACAAAAAAAATGATCTCAGTTATGATACTTTTTGTTCCGACTTTCGCAAAGAAAGTAACAGAATATTGGTGCTCGGGGTTTTTCTTGAGCCAAAATTCGACTTTTTATTTGCCATTTTTGACGGAAGTTTTTTGTATCATTCAAAACGTTTTGTTGTCCTGAGCTTGAGTTTTCAACAAAAAAATCTGAGTGATGTAATCGTTGACATTTTGTGAAATTATTGGCGTTTGAAAATCCCCTGATTGCTTATTTAAGAAAATTAATCAGATCAAAATTTCTAGCAGACTTGTTCATTTTTATTTTGACTCCAAATTCAAAAAAAGCGGCAATTTTTCAAACAGTGCTATGGTAATGGTTAGTTTTAACAAAGAAATCAGAGAATTTTTTTGCAAAACCATTTACATAAACTTTTTTTAAAAAAGCCTTGACCTTTTTGCACAAAAAAAGTTTTAAGAAGTTGTGATTGGGGTTAATCAATATCATTTTTTGAGTTCATAAATTTAGCTCTTACTCAGTTAATTTTTCAGACTTAAAAGTATGACTATAATATTTTAAAACAAAAAATTTGACATAATAGTTTTTTTGTAGTTGCGTTATTGCTCAATTTTTTGACTAAAAGGATTCTTTCAAAATTATTTCCATTTTACAATAGAATGAGAAACTTTTGTACGCCTTTTGAACTTTCAAAAATATATGATCATTTACGAACTCTTCGGCTACTCTTGCAATACTCAAATTTTACATATAGGCTATCCGTTGTTACTACTCCAATTTGGCCGATTAGCATTAAAATTTTGGAAAAGCTACTTTCAGTTTTTACAAATCAAATTGAAAAAAAAAACCGCGCGCCCAGTTTATCGCATTGTTTTGGTCACAAGTTTACAAAATTCGCCAAAAATACACATTTGGCGTTTTTTTCTCCAAAATTGCCCGTTGCGCCAAAAAAAAGGAAATTTTGTTAATTTTTAAAAAAGGATTGTTTTAAAATTTCCATGAAGTCATCCCCTTGCTAAAATTGTGGATCTGGCTCTGAAATTACTAACAGAAAACAAAGCTAAAAACGTATTCGAAGTAACTCCCTAGAATTACCGACTCTTCCTCTCAAGAAATAGTTTCCAATCAATTTTAGAGATAATGTAGGAAAGCAATCAACTTTAATCAATTCAAAATCAGTATAAAAGTCTTTTGTTAGGCTTTTTTTATTTTTTACGAAATGGTTATTCGGCAGGGGCGGATTTACGCAGAAATTTTTTCCGGCAGGGGCGGGGGCATCTTTAACCTCCACCCCCTCACCAACCAAAAGGTCCCTCATTTGGTCTTATTTTATGTCATCCATTTTCGACGACAAACCATGAAGTTTTTTAAGGGTACCTTCGGTGCCAAGATCGTGTAATTTTGAAAGGGAGCGCGCGCCAAAAAAAAAGAGGCATTTTTCAAAGATTTCAAGAGGCATTTCAAGAGGCATTTTTCAAAAATTTGACTGCGACGCAGAAAATTTTGTCCAAATAGGATCTTTATAGTGTTTTGGGACCGCTCGGATGATCATTTTAGAGTCGGCCTAAAAAGTGGACAAAATGTTTGAAATCCCCTCACCCTCGAGAAAATCATAGGTCTGTCTCTGTTCCGCGGTACCAACCGAAAAAGAGGTTTTTCCAAATTTTTCATATCAAAAAAGTTTAGCTGGGTCGAATTCTCATTTTTCATATGCAGTATTTTAAAAACCTGGGGTAGGATTAGCTTCGGATGAACCTTTTTTCAAGTTGCATCATTTTGTTCGGTCACAGAGAAAAACTTTTCAAGTTGCATCATTCGATCGCCTGTAGAATTGAACTGTAATTGTTGATGGTTCTCTGTGTTTCAAAAGCATGATTCACGTTCAAAGCTAAGCAGACCCTTTTAGTGGAGCTGATTAATTTGAGTTGATCAAGTTGTGGCAACAAAAGCAGTATTAAGTAAACTGAGAGTATCAGCAGGTCAAAATCATCAAGGTATCAAAAGTTACATCAATTGAGAAGTTCTCAAGG